AAATGTTTGAAGTAACTTCAATCTACAAACCAGTCAATAAACCTCAACCCCTCCAAAACAAACCAGGCAAATCCTAGTGAAACTACCATACCAAAGAAAATCTTGAACAGCTTAAACACAGCCAGACAAGAAAAACACTACATACAGGGAAACAACTACTGATACAATTGACAGCTAACTTCCTGAAATCAAGAGGCACAAGTGAAAGGAAAAGCAGCTTCAAAGTGCTAAAAGGAAACTAATCTCCAGCCAGCAGTATTTACAAAGTGAAAGTGACATATTTTCAGATAAACAAAAGCTAAAAGATATCATGGACTTATACCTTCTACCACTGAATGCAGAAGGGAAGTTGAAGAAAAATGACACCAAATGTAAAGAAGCACTTACAAGGAAGGTGAAATGCTGAACAACAAAAACAGTACATAAATATTAATAGCTTGCTGGCTTTTTTTTTTTTAATGCTATGCAAGTACTCTACCACTGAACTGCCCCCAGACCTCCTTCAGTTCATATCTTTAAACCATTCAATGTAATCGGCCAAGGGCCGAGGAGATGGTTCAGTAGGATAAGCGCTTGACTGGCAAACGCAAGGATCTGAGTTCAATCCCTGGTTCCCCCCCCCCCCCAAAAAAAAATGTAATCGGCCAAATAGCTCAGTAGATTAAAGCATGTGCAAGTAGGCACTGGGGCTGGGGATTCAATCCCATGCCCTCCCTGCCCCTGGGACATGCTGAGACAGGCAATTGAGACTGAGCATGGTGGTGTGCACCTGTAATCCCAGCTCTTGGAAGACTGTAAACAGGCAGATACAAGTCGGATCTAGTAGTAAGACCCTGAACACTCTGTAGACACTTCCTTTAAAAAAAGGAAAAAAAAGAAAAACACAGAAGAAACTTGCAGCAAGAAATAAAACATGTGAAGAATCTTCATTCTTTTACAAATAATTAACTTGCTACAAAGAAAGTTTAGGCCCAATGGATTCACTGACATTCTATGCAACATTTAAGAAAAACAAGCAACTTGACAAACTTCCAGAAAAGAAGAGGCACTTCCAATTCATTTTATAAGATTATCAAGGCTTGATACAAAAAAACACTACAAGAATTATTAAACTATTATAAGCTGAGACACAAAAATCCATCTATCCACCTAAAAAACACAAATTAAATCCAACATTAAGAAAACACATCACAGGTGAGGGGCTTATTCTGGTGATATAGGATTATTTTAATAGTCAAGTCAACTGTGTAATTCATTATATTAACAGCAAGAAAAATCTGCATGATTTACTCACTGTCAGTTCCCATTCACAATAAAAACTCTCAAAACACTATGAACGGAACTGAATGAATTTTAGAAAACTATAAAAAACGTGGAGTTTTGTTTTTGTTTTTTGAGACAGCATCTTGCTATGTAGTTCGGGCTGTCCTTGTGCTCACTTTTTAGCCCCTAGGCTGGTCTCAAACTCCCAGAGACACTCTTGTTTGAACCTTCTGAGTGTTGGGATTACAAGTATGCACCACCATGCCCAGTTACAGGGGATCCAGAGCCAGGACCACAAGGCATGTGGGGCCAGAGATCGAACTCAGGTCCTTGTGCTAAGTGTTTTATGCCTCTGAGCTATCTCCCTGGCCCCTAAAAACAGTGTTTAATTAGTAAAAAAATTATTACCTTCTCCATTAGACTGGGCACAAGGTAAGAATGCCCATCCTTACCACTTCAACACTTTGGAGATCCAAGGCAGTTCAACAAACATTTAAAGATGGTAAGGAAAGATTGTATCTCACTATTCACAGAGTGTATGACTATATATATATATACGAAAAATTTGAAAAAATCTATAAAACATTAGAAGTGAACTAGTAGAATAAGCACAACATCACAGATACAAAGTTAATAAACATAAACTTTCTTCTCTTAATGTTTGTGATACACAGTAATAACATTCCTCTTGAGGAACAGGGTGGTATCACATCTTAAATCTTTTTACTTCCTGTTCCTCTCCTTGTCCTCCACTCTTCCTCCAAACTGTATTTCTATGTATCAACAGCAACTCTAACAGAAAATTAAACTGGGCATGGCATGCTCGGATGCCTATAATCCCAGTACACAGGAGGCTGAGGCAGGAGGATCACCATGAGTTCGAAGTCAGCCTGGGCTATAGTGAGTTCAAGGTTGCCTGAACTATATACAGTGAGACCTTATCTCAAAAAATAAATAAATACAGGGGGAACTATCCACTTGGGCCCCCCTCCTGTCCCTCTTTCGGACAGGAGCTTTCTTTTCCTCAATAAATGTATTCTGCTCATAATCTCCATTTGTTCCTAAAATTCCTTCTTAACTTTCACACAACATGAACTCGTGCAGGTCAGGTCCAGAGATCGTTTTCCCCTAAGTCATTTGAAGGTTCCCTATATCGTTTGGAGGTCACCCACCCGAGATCAGTTTTTCTTCCTGTATCATTTTGGAGAGTCCCACCAAGATCACTGGATGAAGGAGCATACACCTGCTCTGGAGAGGGCTACTCAGGGACACCCAAGTGGAGGAATATTAGAAAGAAGGTGGGGATGCCCAGAAAGACTCAAAACTAAACGTTAACCTAAGAGAAAATGCCTGTCATCTATTGGGGCTTTAGATAAAACCTCTGAAAAATATATCTGACTGCCGGTCAACAACTACGACCCCATTCAGCCTGAAAAAGCCAGAGGAGTCTTCGTCCATATTTCCCTTCACAGCAGTTCAGGTTACTTCTTCAGAGTAGGGAATGTTGTAGGCAGCCGAGTTAGATAAAAATACTATAGGCAGTCAGACAGGGACAGGCCCTCAAAGGAGACAGCACAGAAGACAAGATGCCTTACAACTGTGGGAGGGGTGGATGCTCCTGCTGTGAACCAGACCTAAAGACCTAAAGGCCAAACAAAAGCTAAAAGAGTAGCACCTGGGATTGATATTCTAAATAGGTATGGATCACCTGGAAAGAGCCCAAGTGAGTCACTAGCCCAACCCCCAACAGGAAGAGACCCTGTCCCGTATTCATGCCTGCTTGCTATGTGACTCGCTTCCTCATTTGGTCCTAGATTTAATCAGTTTTACCTGAGCAATGGTGCTTGTAATCTCATTGGTTGACCATAGTTTTGTCCCACCTCATATCCACCTAAGCGAGTTCCCATTCTCTCCACCTTAGCCCCACATGGTTTTACACTATAAAAGTCCCTGGAAGAGACAGCTTCCTGGGGAACTACCCACTTGGGCCCCCCTCCTGTCCCTCTCTTGGACAGGAGCTTTCTTTCCCTCAATAAATATATTCTGCTCATTAAAATACATACATACATACATACATACATATATACACACATATAACAGCACCAAAATAAAAAAGGACACGAACAAATTTAAGCAAAGCACATCTGAAAGACGTGTACAGACAAAAAACAAGTGCAATAAGTACTGAAATGAAAAAAGAGCATTACAAAAAAAAAAAAAAATACAGGGCCAGCAAGATAGCTCAGTAGACTAAGCACCTGCTTAGGCAAGCGCAGGTTCGATCCTGGCACCACATGTCCTGCTGGCCCTGCCCCCAGGCACGCTGAACCAGCCACCGAGATTGGGCATGGTGGTGCACACCTGTAATCCCAGCGCTGGGGAGGCTGAAACAGGAGGATCAGCTGCACAGTGAGATCCTGTATCAAATACATTTAAAAAAACAAAAAAAAAAGATGCATTGCCACAAACAATGGGAAAAGTGTATCTGAAGCAAAAGGTAGTATTTTGAGAATTAATGATGTGTTATTACAATAAATTTGTTACACATTTACTATATTTTTAACCATTCTCATACATGGAAAGCATAGCAACACTCTCATGGATCAGAAAACTATTACTATAATGAAAAATTTCTCCAAATTGATTCAACCCTGGGGCTGGTGAGATGGCTCAGTGGTCTAAAGCACCTACTTGGAACAAGCTTGGCAAAGCACAGGGACTGCGGTTCAATCCCCCAGCACCACATG